ATTACAGAGTTAATCACTCCGGGGATGTGAACCATACTGAGTTACACAAATATCCTGCTCTTTTAAGATACTGCGCGATAGTGACCGCTCTGCAAGTTAAACTGCTTTTAGAGTCCAACTCCAACTTCAACACATACTGGGATTTTTCTACGGAACCTACTTGAATCAGGAGTTTCCTCCCGTGCACCAAAACAAATGTCTCCACAAGTGCCCAGAAAAGACGCAGTCCCGTGACCGACGCGCGTTAAGGTATTAGTCTCGATATTAACAATTGAACGAAGCTGCTTTATCCCAGACCAGATAGCTCCTCTCTTACACGACTACACATGACCTAGCTGTTTGCCAAGGATAAGGCGGTCACTGAGTTTCACCCTTTTGCTCGAAAAGACTCGGTGTAAGGTATTGTGAGTTATCGTTGTAGAGCGTTTTACGCTCTCCTGCTCGTCACCGAAAAAGCTGGATCTGTTTCGAGAAGCTTGTCTTCTTCTATTGCATGCACGAGATTCACACTGACTCTCGCCCAAAGTAGCGCGCCAGAATTACGGTTTTAGATTGTCTGACTTTGCTGGCCACACCGTCGCAGAGGCAGAACTCTTTCTCATCTATGAGTGACCTTCCACAAATATCGATAGCAAAATGAGAGCACGAGGTAAAATTTGCGAGCGCTTTCCCAACTCAAGAATATTCAATCCACATGACTACTACCTGCGCTTAAACAACAGCGGTTTAGAAAATCATACCCCCTCAGAACGGATGCAGCTTAGATACCTGAAATATGATGGAGTGCCGATGAGTGTCAAACTTTCTTCTTGAGCAGGGTAGGGAAACTGCGCCGTCTCACATTTCTTAAGCTTTGCAAGCCAGCTTGAGCAAAGCCGACGTCCGTTTAGAGCGTCGAATCAAGATTGCCTTTGCAATAAACAAAGCAAAATACAATTGTTGAGGCAAGAATCCATCGCCTCTGGCTTATAATATTGACAGACCCATTCTTCTCCATCATAAATCTGTGATAATAACCGACCAAAGGTTCATTTTACCGCAAAGACAAAATAAATTATCTGCAAACCGCATTTAGCACGAGCTAAGACTCGTGATTGTACTCACTTGTATGCCACGGACTGCGACGAGCTACCCTGCCTTGTGTCAAAGGAATATAAAGGCCGAAGATATGCCAATTATTATGAGGTTTAGACACCACCGAAAGATTTTTAGACTGAAAGTTTTTCCTCTGCTTCAACAAGTACTTGCAACAGGACTGGTATCCTCGCAAATATATCAGCACACCTTGTTCACCGAGCATGGTCGGCAAAGATCGGTACTCTTGCTGCTGTCCCTAGTAAGCATTTTCGGTTGCGGTAACGTATCTATTCTATCCGTGAGCTCCGGTGTGCGTCCAAAGCTGCAGTTAGCCATATGTTCGATTCGCTCTCCGAGCTCTGCCATGGATTTACCTCGAACCTTACCGGTCACAGTAACGCTGCAGAAGCGAGACGAGCCATCTTGCTTAAACGGTCTCAACGACAACGATGCATGTATAGCTAGCTGGATGCGTCTTTTGCAACGCTAAGAATATAGCTCGTTTTTTATAGACTTTCAAATTCCGTCCAGAAAGTCAAATTAGCGAAGGATGCCGCTAGGGATTGGCTCGTTCGCACGTTTTACACATGCGCACATATGTGATTATCCATTCATACATGTTGGTTTAGAAATACGTAGCATTCTCTGAGCAGTATATCTTCTTACTTCAAAATGGGCAAGAGCTTCGTGCTGTATTCTGTACTTAAGATCCGCATCGGGAGACACCACCAAATATTGACTTTCCTGTAAAAAGGTTGTGTAAAACTTATTATTCTGGCGAGAAAAGCGGAACGGAAGAGCAGCCTTGCGCTGTGAGAAAGCGACATCTTGTATGTCGAATCCTTTCTCCCTTAAGCTTCCACAATTGCAATACATGTTGCGTCTGAGTTATTTTTGGAACGTCACCCCATTCTAGAAAGACATGTTGCATCTGACCGTACACTTTACATATGCCTCACGAACTGGCGACGTCGACCCGGCTTATAACGTCCTTAAAAGTATACTCGGCAAAGCAAGATAAACATCTTGCCATTGTTGTGGGCTATGTGGTGACGATGTTGCTGTGTGCAATGACGCATGATTTACGTAGATAAGAAACAGCTTAGTACCAAGTAGATAAATTCTTATATGGCGAGTGAATACTTCATCGTATGTAGCTTCTTGTCACGAAAGGTAGTTCCTCTCAGTAACTTACGCTGTCGAGAGTTAAAGGTGGCCACGCGTTCATACCTATCAATATCTGTTTGAGAGGTCGCGCGGCTTATTACAAAGGCTGAAGTGTCATAGGCAACATGAAATTCCGGCATAGTTTGCACTGTACGTGCTCAAGTACTTGCTCACATAAGCCACCTTCGCAAGTCTTTTTGAGACATAGGCATATCTACATGGCTTGTGTCTTAAAGGGTTCTGGCCACAGGTCTATATATTTATTAAAGAAGCTCAGAAGAGGCTTTGTCGGCGCTTAAGGCACAATTGTCCATCATGGCGATTAGCTTATTTTGCGCAGACAATCGAGCACCCGGTCGGCGCGATTAATGTGGCTCTTGACATACGACGTTTTGTACTCTGCACGGTTATGGACAATGATAATGTCAAACAAGGTCATAGCCAAAATGTGGCTCAGACACCTGTGTTACCAGACGATGAGTGTATGAGGTCATCGTCTGGTAACACAGGTGTCATAGCCACATTGTGGCTATGACCTTGTTTGACATTATCATTGTCTGGGTTTATGGCCACTCCCACAGCATTCCGCTCGTAGTACTCATCGCAATGAGAACAGTATTCTCTCATCTACCAGGGCGTGAGTACTGGACAAAGTGCAACAGATTGTGCTGTTTCGTAGCACATCTTTTCCTGGAATCAACGTTCGCACCGGGATGGTGGTTGCATATTCCTGATTTGAACTTTCACAATTCTCCACTCGCCTTCAAAGTGTCTGTCACATAATGTCGGCGCCAGCCGAAAAACTACTTTCTCATCAAACTGCCTCGTGTTTGGTGCGAACGAAAGCGTAAATGGCGTCATCCTATTCTTTTGCAAGAGCCATTTCTACGATGCACTACTTGATTCTGAAGATGAAGTCAAAATCATGGCACATTCTCGTGTCCGGGGATCACACGCGTGATAAGTCGTTTCTGACCAAGTCAAGACATTCCATTAACAAAGCATAGAATAGATCCAGAATTTTTAAAGGAAGGCTGTCCTACCACTTACACTCTGTGCAGTCAAGAATTTCGTAATGGTATATTTATCTTTGTCGGATGATAAGCTCAGCATCACCACCGATACAAACCGTGCCACTTCAGTGATACCATCATCTTCCAGCCCCTTGATGTGATCGTTTAAAATATTTTCTCACGCTAAATTGAGGCTTTGCCAAAGGTAATAAAAGAAGATACACAGTGATTTACGACCGATAGGGCTACCCCTGTCACTCCGCTCACAAATATATAATCTATTTCGCAACTTATCCCTGTAGTTTAAACACAACGCACGGTACGATAGTGTCGAATCAGAAGTACTATCACATCGTAATAAGGATGCACTACCCTTCTTAACGTCAAAAATGGCCCCTTTACTCGTGTCATAAAGTTGCCTTCAACTCATCGGCTCTGGTTCGGAAAATTGGGACACCCAGTCGCTTCCACTCTTCATTGGTCCAGTCCAATACGACATCAGCCCATAGCTGCTCTTTATCATTTCGCTCGAGATACACACTATAGACAACAACATGTTGCCATTATTTTTGTCTTAGCAGATACATATTCGAGAGACGGCGATTTGCATTCATTTTTTCTTTCAATATGAATTCTTTTTCCGACGCTTTAAGTCAAGTTACCTACTAATACCATTTCCATCAATCTTGGACTCATATCTCCTGGTCAGAAGCTTAATAGCTTCGTTTCCGCGTCAAAAGCTGGGCTTAATGACTCGCCAAATCTTTAAACGCGCATTCTACCTAATTGTATCAACTTCTAGTAGATCCTTGGCAGCCACACCATGGTTAGGAAGAGATCATATTTTTAGTCTCTGAACAAGACTAGACAGCGGTTCAAGCTGCGAAAGATAACCATTGCTTTCGCATTATGTATTTGGCATCGTCAATGGCTCCACGTACTGTCGCATGTCAAACGTAATTACATAATGCTTCCAAAATTAGTCAGATTTTCGCGAAATTACAACCCCGGGACGATGATATCAACAACAACAACAGCCTTGCGCAATCCTCTTAGCCCTTTGGTCTGGATTTATCGACTACAACCTCCACAAGTGACAACAGAATCCACCTGATATCTTCTAGAGCTTGAGTTTTCACCACGAGGAATTAGTCGTCCACGGAACTGCCGTAGCTTTGCGCTTTGAGAAAGCGTAAGTTAGGTCACCGACCTTTCGTTCTATACTTAAAACAAGTACGAGTTTAGCGGATCTCAATCCGCTTTCTCCAAGAATAATTATTGCCTTAACCCAAGGCTAGTTAACCTCCTCCGTTTGAATCCAAAACTGACATTATTTATTTATTTATCCGCGGCAAAGGCGCCTAATTTTTAATGTATAGAATTTTCTAGATATATATAGCAAAATCTAAATACATGCATAACTACTGACTATCCAGCCACGTACCGTATTCTTCTTTGGAGGCAATCACAACAGGCCCATCTCGTGTGACACACAACCCTGTTACCAGGGTACGTGTAACCCCGTTACACTCTCCCTGATTAAGATTGAGAACATATACAGCTCCAACCGATTATTGCCTCAACGAGGCTTGCGTGTCCGCTAGACACTGCAACTTCGCTCGTTAGAACAAAATGACTTATGTGCTCAACGAGCCCTGTGTCAACGACACTGAAGTCACCAAGTCTCGCTGGTTCTGACAAGCACACGGGTAGAGCCCAACTTCGTCTCCCGCACGCGGTACAATGTCGGACAGTGCGTCAGCGGCATCGATAGATGTACATCCTAGGCTCGATGAGCACGAGCGTCGCGCTCCGCACACGCTATCAGTGACGAATGACTTCGTTGAGGATGTGGAGGTGGTCGACTACGAGTCTGACACTCTTTTTCCCGCGTGGGATGACGAGGAAGGCGAGCGGCGCGAGCGGCGTGAGACGAGACCTGCTCGCGCCTTGCGGACCATATGTCCGTTTCCTGACTTCTCGTCACCTGAGGGACTCGACGGGGCACAGAGGCGGCAGCTGGAAGCTGCATTTAAGGTGGCCCTGATGCGCGCCCATCCACGGCCGGTCATTGACCCTCGTGTGGATTATGGCTTCCGCCCGGCGGATCCCGCTGTGGAAGCGATGAACGCGGTAGCTGGACCGCTACGTCTCCACAACATCGTCATTACAAAAGATGAGCTTGCCGAACGGAAAGCTCTTCGAACTCATTTCTTGGTTCCACAAGAATTTCCGTTAGAAGGTATGCACTCGTCTGAGTGCTCAACAAGGTGGCTCTCGTGTACCCGCAATGCGGACAATACCTGAAGTGCTCGTCCCTGGCGAAAGCGGTACAGATGACGAAGCGCTCTTTGAGCGATGGGTGCAACGGCAAGGAAAGCTTTCCTCTCTGTAAATCTTACAGTCAAGCCACAAGGAAGTGGACGTGTGTGGAGCGACACCTCCGATTTGAGTTTGCCAAACTCAAGGCACGCCGTCGACTTCCTTAGCTCTGTGTCTGCGACCGCAAGAACCAGGGCCACTGCTTGAGCTCGGCTCATGGCCCTTCTACCTCCCTGGCTTTTGCCGAGAAGCGCGGGGCGTCTAATGACATGAAGCGTCCTAATATTTCTGATCTAAAGCGTCTACAGCGTCTGGGCAAATTTGCGGATTTGCGGAAGTGGCGTCTCAAACTCCCACGAGTTTTCGGAGTCGGGATATCCCCGCCACTTCACCGGGTATTGGATTTGACCCTGGTGACAACGTCGTCTTACTAGACGTTCCACATGATAATGGACGTCACTGTTCTCATCAAGAATCGTCGGTTGCGGGCGGTGACGACCGGGTCAACCGCCGTCCCGTGACTCGTGATGATCTTCGAGCCCTTGAGGACGAGGTCCTTCGTGATCGAAGCTCCGCTGAGCGTCATGCCAAAGTAACATATCGCTGTGCGGACGCTCTTGACGATTTAAACCACGTCGTGCGCCGGCAGCTTCGCCTTGAGGACTACCGCGCTCTGTCAAAGCGACTCCTAGCCGTAAAACTGGCAAATGCGTCGCTGCATGCGACGGTGGAGCGCTTGGCGCCATTTGACATGGAGGTTACTGCACTCTGTGCTCAGAACCAGTTGCTGATTCAACTTCTGGGTGGCCGAGGGCCCGTTGGATCCGCTCCGGCGCCAACGCTTCCGCGTTCACTTGCGCCGGATCGTGGTACGGCTTGAGCAAGCCCACGTTAAACACCAGGTGGGTGCGCATCCGTTTTCGGAGGTTCAGCGTATACGCTAGGCCCCGCTTGGGCACAACCTTAAACGGTCCGATGAACCGTGGACGAAGCTTCGTCCGGAAGATAGCAGAGGCTTCATGTGTAGACGGTTTTTTTGATATCAATAAAATCAGGTCCCCGACTTCAAAGCTTTTTACATGT